GTGGTTTTCTGTGACATACTTATGAGACAGCAGAAGATGGTCAGTGGTCAGTCTCCATCCAGCTGGTACTCATTGTCCATTTGTTATTTCCAAACAAAAGATAAAAGACATCTTGTGTGTTACAGACACCAGGGATTGTTTCAGAGACCTTGATCAAAAATGGCCAACAGGGCCATGACACAATTTTATATGAGAACTACTATTTTTGCCGATTTCATGTGGAAATCTGAGAGCTGTGCCCAGCCTCAGGGGGCTGCTTCTTCTTCCAGGAGACAGAGCTAACAGAGTTATTTGGGATTAGTCTGTGTGGGCCTTCATAAGAAGAAAACAGTTGTGGGTGGTTTAAAGAACAAACACTGATTTTTATCACAATTCTGCAGTCTGAATGTTGAAGATCAAGGTGCTGTCAGGGTTGGTTCTTGGTGAGGCTTCTTCCTGGCTGCACAGGGCCACCTTCTAGTGCACTACGTCTCAACATGGCTCTTCTCTGCGTGCACGTGAAAAATGAGAGGTCTATGGTGTTATTTCATCTTCTTACAAAGACAACAGGTCTATTGCATTAGGTTCTCACACTTATGACCAAATTTAACCTTAATTATATCCTTACGATTCTGTTCTCCAATATAGATCCATTGGATTTAAGGTTTCAGCATATGAATTTCAAAGAGGGCACAATTCAATTGATGACACAAATCAGGAGATGCTGGGAAGAATTAGCATTTTTTTAAACCAATAAGTTGTAATGGGTCACGCACTAACATGTAGGAAAGTTCCTAGTAATTGTCGAAACTTCAACTGTAAGAGAAAAATGTCTTCCTCCTTTCTTTGCTGGCACAAGGATGTGAGGAAGCAGAACCACAGATAATAAAGAAAGGAGCCCTGGACACAGCTCCAGTGCTGGCGGGGAGGGAGCCCACTGAGCAGATGAGGAAGCCCTGCTCTCCCTGCACGTGCTCCAGACCCGGCCTCGGGCTCTGTGGGCCCTGCGCACCCCCTGCTGGTCCTGAGCAGCACCTGTGCCCACCCCGCCGCCTCCCTGCAGGGAGGTTTGTGTCTGGGCTCACACTCACCTCCCCTCACTGTGTCTTGCACAGTAATACACGGCCGTGTCTGTCGCGGCCACAGAGTTCAGCCTCAGGGAGAACTGGTTCTTGGACGGGTCTGCTGATATGGTGACTCAACTCTTGAGGGACGGGTTGTAGTAGGTGCTCCCACTATAATAGATTCTCCCAATCCACTCCAGCCCCTTCCCTGGAGGCTGGCGGATCCAGCTCCACCAGTAACCACTACTGATGGAGTAACCATAGATATCGCAGGTGAGGGACAGGGTCTCCGAAGGCTTCACCAGTCCTGGGCCCCACTGCTGCAGCTGCACCTGGGACAGGACACCTGTGAACAGAGAGACACACGGTGAGCCCTGGGCTCAGAGGCAGCTCCCATAAATTCATATCTGCACCCCTGAGACACTCACGTCTGGGAGCTGCCACCAGGAGGAGGAAAAACCACAGGTGTTTCATGCTCTTGCATGTGAGGTCCATGACTCTCAGAAAGCATTTCCCATGTGAGCAGGACCCTGAATTTAAGGAAACGTGTGGTGGTTTCCTGTGGGTGCCTAAGTGAGGATTTGCATGTGGGTGGTGCCTTTGTATGGAGCAGTGAAAAGGGATGAGCAGGCCCCAGTCTTTCAGGCTCTCCCTGGGAGGAGGATGCTGGCTGTGCCCTCTGAGAACTCAGTTGTCTTCCTGGGGCCTCCCCTCCCCAAGCCCAGAGTCCTCTTCTTCCAGGTAGGGAGATGTGCTGAAGAAACCGGTCTGGGAGATAAGTGTGATCATGGATCATGGACAGATTTTGGAATAGGGTCAATGCTGCTCTACCCTTAAAAATTCACATAAGACAAACCTCACATTCAGGTCATCTAAATTGTCATTTACCTATTCAGACACATTGAAACAGGAGCTGAATGTAATAATCAATGAAATCAGACAAGCCTGGATTCATCTGATGTTTATTTTAGTTCAGAACACCTGTCATGATTAGAAGGAAGCTCCCTGTCCCAGGGAGTGGGTCACTTTAAAAAAACACCTGAGAGCTGCCCTCTGCAACCTTTTGGAGTTCAAGATTCTGTCTGAGATCTCAGGAGAAGGTAGTGGGACATACTGCCATCCTTCTCAATGTGTGACTCTGAAGATGTGGCCAGACCTCTAAACACTTCTGTGTGAAAATATGTAGACTGGGGATGTCAGTGACAGCTTCAGACACAAACTTTATAACAGGTCAGCTCTGCGGGATAGTCTCCAAGATCTGTGCAACTGCCATTCCTGGGAACCAGAGATGACCTCTGTGAGCCCTCCCTTCTGAGAGCACAGGGAACTCTGGTCCTTCCCTGACAGATCATACCTGTGAAACATGGCTGGACAATGACACTCAAGCCCAGAGTCCTTACACACATATTTATCAATTCAGATCCTTCTGTTTCTGAAAGACTTTCTCCTCCATTGAATTGTATAAACCTACCCTGGGGTGTGTGGTATTGCAACTTGGGTATTTGACATTAGTTTGGTGAAATGTCAAAGTCAGTATATATTAATTTATCTTTCTGTTTTCTGTTACAGACAGATACTTGTTCCGTTAATAAATAACGTATCTCCATGGATGTAGGTAACAGGAGAGTCATCAGAAGTTGGGTGTGTCATAAACTGAGGACAAACCTGGGCTCTCTTCCTGGGACCTGAACAAGTGAACTGACCTTCTGTGAGATAACAGAGCGGAAGAGACAGACTCAACATCCAGACCAGGTGAGCTCCTTACCTACCAGGTGGTCTCTGGGCCTTTTGTTTGAACAGTTCCAGAAAGACCTTCATCTACCGGATCCTTTCACACCCTCAGGAGAATTATGAACATTGGGGGAAATTGAGATAAATTTTTATTTACAGAGAATAATTCATAGGCTTGTAGACATTTATGTGGGTATGTACAGGGATGCTAGGATATGCTCATACACAGAATAGAAAAAATTGTGGTTCGTGGAGAGAAAACCAAAGAGCTGCTGAATATGTGGGTACTGTTTACCACAAATGTGTCAGGTCACTAGATCATGTTATAATGCTAGAGGTAAAACTTCCCAATGTTGCCATAGAGACAAAATGCAAAAGAGTAGTGAGATTCCTTTGAAAATCACCAGCAATGAATAGGCCAAAAGAAATGAACCATTATGGAAAGCGTGGTAATTAAATCAAAACACAATGACTTCTATTCTGTTCCCTGAGCAAGACAAACTCTTACCTGCTTTAGAACCTTTTCAGTTCTCTGTTCTACATGCTCTTCTCTAGGCCTGTAGCAAGCTAAACTGGTACTCCATCAGAGAGGCTTCTGCCCACATTGTCAAGAATAGCAGAATTCAGGTATCTGCCTTCTGTCACATCACCTTCTTTCTATCATATCACTATTGCAGTTCGTAATTATTGATTAATTAATATGTTATTTTCTTTTACTAACTTGTCTTCTTCCCCTCATAAGTTCCATGAAGGCAAGAATCATACTTGTTACCATGGATTATTTTACCACCATTCACTAAGTGAAATGGATGAATGTATTACTGTATGCTGCAGTTTGATATGCATTCAATTACGCGTAAAATGATTTGTCAAACATAATTATTTCCCTAGTTGTCATAGTGTGGCTTTAGTCACTTAAAACTACTGCTGTTACCGCTGCAAGTATTACTGCCTTTTAAATATTCTGTAATAAAATAACTGATATCTCCTAACAGGCATTTGGAAACAAGAGCATGGTTCTTTGACTGGGCAGACCTGGTGGGAATTACCAGAGTGTTGGTTGTATCTTCTACTGTCAGAGTTAGGACTGTGTCAGTAGTATTTTAAGAGCTAGCAATAATGATGGCCTTGAAAGTTCATTCATTCAGAAAGTTGAGACAACTTACATTCACTTATGGGAAATATATAGCTTCCATGCATAGATC